CTGGGTTCAAAAGCCATTACACACGAGCGATATTTCATTGAAGAATATTTTTATCGTCAACTATTGTTAAATTAGAAAATTCAATACAAAATTCTTTTTACGTTTATAGGTATCAATAAAATTTAAAAAATAAAGTTTAGCGAATACTAGTTATAGTCACATTATCTAATTGTTTGAGTGTGATTAAAGCTCAAATGTTAACAAACTTGAAACATTTCACAATAATTTAATAATAATTTTCTATACAGAATAAAATGTAAAAAAAATACTTGAACCTAACCTAAGTTTTAAATAATTACATTATTGTATCATAATATATTTGTTTTGGGGAAATATTAGTTTCACTTAATATTACTAATATCAATATAAATCATAAATGTATAATGTAATATTTTTAGAAATATAGACTAACAGATATATTATTATCTCCAATAAAAATTGTTATCCATATCCAATGATTTACCATGGAATTTGATATATCCATACAATGACCTACTCAACAACGAGGTACATTCAATACCTAATATACAGCAGAGTCAGTTACTAGATATTTTTTTCATTTATACTAATAACAATTTGTTTAAAATTAATTCTTCGAGTACTCTTACTATCAAACATTCATTATTCATTTAATTTCAATAAATAAACCATAATTAACATACATTAAATAAAGAAGAGTTAAATTGATGAACAATTAAACCAATGAAATATGAACTAATAAGGCAACTAAAGATTACGCTAGAACCATTATTAAATTTATTTATTATTTTTAATTTATTATACAATTACTCATTATAGTGCAAAACAATTTTAAATAAAATTTAATAACTTTAAAGAATCATTTTATATTTAATTAGCAAATTCTACTAATCCTATGCAACAAACAAAAAAAATATTTGTCTTTTGTAAGCTAACAAATCTCTACATGAGTTTCTCTTTAGAGTGCAAAATTTAAAAAATATTTTAAGATGCACATACTTGAGTATAAAATTACTTATTATGTACCAAATTTCAGAATCCTGAAGGCAATAGACTTGGCAGGCTGAGCTGTAGACCGCTTATACACTCACAAACATTGCCTTACATTAAATAATAGATTATTATTAATTTAATTGAATAAACAATTTTAAATACTTATAAATAACACAAAAAAAGCAGTCATATTTTGATAAATATTTCATTTCAAGTAGTAGGCAATAGCTAAAATGAATAATTGTTAAAAACAGTCTCTATTCTCTTCAGATATTTATTTTTAAGTTTGATACAAATAAAATCAATTTTGTAAAAAACTTGGTTTTCATAGAAATTCTAGGTTTTTAAAAATTATTTCATTGTTCTTTTCTGATTACATTTAAAAATGCTGGAAAGTGGAAACATTTTGTTTTTAACTCCCAGAATACAAACTACAGATATAATTTTCTACAAGTAATTATTCTAGAAAGAAAACATTCTTTTTTTTATAGTGTCAAACAAATGTCTTTTAAATTATTAAACAAATCATAATTTAACATTTCTCAAAAATGTATGAAAAACTAATATATGTTACCCTCTGATTGAATATTGGTGATATATTGATGTATTTTGTGATACCTAATAGATAAGGTCAAGATGAGTTTATCCAGTTTTTTATATTTTCAAATACATTCAGTCATTCTTTATAAGTAAGTAAATCCTCAGAAATATCCTCAGCATCACATATTATTTTAAAAATAGGCATCATTGATAGGCAAAAAAAATAACCAATTACATTCTACTCTTCACAGGATTTAATATTACTTACCATTGATATCAATATTGTTTTTATACATTTATAAATTAATTGGGTATAAAAAATTAACAACTCGTAATAATAATATGGGTAATAAAATTCTATGGAAAATAATATTATATAGCAAATTTAACATATGATCATTGGTTGTAATATAAATAAATAAAAATTTAGGCCAAGACCTATTGATCAATTACAAAAAAATTACTTTATGGTTAGATAATCAATTAGACACACCCTTGAGTGCTTTATTTTTAACACACTATTCTAAGACATGTATATTTAATAAATATATACAAAACTAACAAAAATACTATCATATATAATCTTTAGCACCATTTTATAAAGATAACCAATTCTCTTTTACTATCAAAAATGAATATGACACAGTAAAGACAACACTTTCGTACATAATTTATATTTCACAAGATCCTGCATCTCTATGTTTTAAAATTATTTCATCACACATATTTACCAATAGTATTATTTTCTTTCTTCCAACATTTATGTTATTTATACAAGTATAGTTAGTATAAATAATTCTCTTAGACTAAAATTCACATTTAATACAAAATACAATTAATAATTCTAAAAATACAGTCTATAGATTTTAACCAATTATTTTACTTATTTAACTATTATTTAGTTTTATCATTAAATTATAATCTATGTGAGATAATCTTAAGTTTAACCATTAATAAAATCCATATAAGCCAATACAGATAAGATAATATATTTAATGTTATTAATAAATATTAAAAAAAATATTTCTTACCTAACTAGTAAAATCTGTTGATCAGTGTTAATTGATAAACGATACTTTTACCAGTTTAAATAATGAAGTGTAGACAAATGAAAGTCAATAGGTAACTATGAAAATAACCTTCAATGAGAAGATATATTATTCCTACCCCTCATTCTTCGACACAGCAGCTGCAAAACGAATTGCTAAATCGAAATTAGATAGGATACTTGTCTACTTTCTAATATTTTTCCTTCGATAACTACAGATAACCCCTATCAGTTTCCATGAATAAAATGGAATCAAAAATTTGATAACAATATTGGAACAAATATTTAGTGGAATAAAAGGTAGTGGTACAATTAATGACAGAAGTACAGTGGTAAAAACAAAACATTTCACAAACAATTGAAAATAGATAAAATATACGAATTACTTTTATTTCTTTTATAGTTATTACTTATTACTATTTTAGAACAATTTTTTTTTTTGCTAAAGCAGTTCCCTCGGAGTTGTCAGTTGAGAACTGAAAAATAAATTATTTTATATAAGCTGAACATTTTTTTCAATAAGTTGGTGTCACAACAAGATTAATGGGATTTTTACTTTTCCAAGTTGTTAGTAATGTTTTTTAAATTTCTGAATTTTTTTTAGCGCTCCGGAGAATTGGTGTATCTGATATCAATGTATCACCATCATATTATATATATGTTGAATGTTGATATTGTAAATTTGTTATCATTGTTGACTATATTGCGAGCTGTACTACTTAAACTATTATAGTACAATCATTGTATTTGTCCATTTTTGAAAAATGTGTCTAAACTTTAAACTTTAAAAGAAATATTATCAGAAAATAAAGTCAACGTGAATCGTGATTAATATTGTTTCATTATTTATTATAGTCAGTTAAAATTTTAATAGGTACCTATTTACTAGTAGATAAAATAAACATGTATTAAAAGCTTAAAAAATATGTTAATTGAAAAACTTAATACAAAATAAAATGTTTGTAACTTATAACATTCAAAATGTCTTTAGAATAATTTGTATTTTCTAATATTAATAAAATTAATTATCAATAAATATTATAATCTTATAATATACCTACCTAATTTATAAATTATATTTTATAATTCTTTTAAATAGGTAGGTATATAATACGGTATTTCATAGATATTTAATACAATATAGGTAATGAATTAAAAGTTTCGAACATATATTTTATGATTTAATCACTGTAATGGTTGTATAATATATTAAATTTGAAAATGAAAATAAATGATCGCATCCGAAAAATGATTCCAAAGGAAAATTTTTATTTTTATTACAGTAGTTCACTTAAATTCATGTAGATAGGTATGAGAAATAATTTATTACAAATATGCAAAATTAATAGTTTTGAATCTTAGTTGTAAACACAGAATATAACAATATTATAACATAATGTACATAATTTATGAAAGTCATGCTATTAATAACTAATATGAATTTATATATAAATTAGGAAAGTTAGACTGGACCAGAATTATCTAAATTAATTTAAAAGAAACCTAACGGATTACTAAGACTAAAAAAGTTAAAAGAATTAAAAAAAAAAAAAAAAAAAAATACAGCAACTTAGAAAAGCTAGTGATGATCTAAAGTAAGTCACATTTGAAAACACTTGGTAACCAAATTCAACAGTATTTCATTTCGATAATAAAATTATAATCAAAAAACACAGGACCTAACTGCTGAATTTAACACGAATTTGCTTATTATTATTCAATCCTTTCTAAACCTCATGTAGTCATGTGTACCTACATAACATACAACTATACAAGGAAAAGCCTCTAAGAAAGGTTAGATAAACTGGTAACATTTTAAATGAAATTATACCTAATTCTGTTAAGAATTTTTTGTCATGAGTTCATAACACTTTTGTTGAAGAAACAATTCAAGTTGTGATTAATAAAGGATAGGTATACAGATTTAATAATAATAATAAATGAGAATCAGTAATAATGGACCTATAAAAAAGTAAATACGGCCACAAAATAAATACCACTATTTCGATAGGCTGATTTTTTTTTTTTTTGCTACCTAGCCTTTAACTTATTTTTTAGCGGCTAGATTTTTGATGCGAATTTTATTTTAATTTGTCAAGTTCATATTAATTGGTAATACATAGTTCACAATTCATGAGTTGATTAGAAAATAAACTAACGAGTTAAGTTAAAAAATTTAAAAATTAAACTTTTTAACAAGTTATTGTCCATCTTTGGGCAAATACATGACTATAATCAAATACTATATCTATAGTATTTGCTATAATGTAAAAGATTTTTTTATAGCTACACATTATTTTCCATCATTTTATTATATTATATTATATTATAATAATAAATATTTTAATTTCATGAAGTGGCACCACTGTAGGCTTCGGTTGCAGGTGGCAGCAGTAATAAATAATAATTCATATTTCATATTATTTCTTAATAACTATAGAATACTAGATAGCTGATAGTATTAGAAAATTTCAAAATTTGTTTATTTTTTATATTTGAGATATTGAGATTGTATTAACTATTTAGTAGTAACTAGTAAGTAGTACAATAACTACAAAAGTAGTAAATACTTAAATCGCACTAAATACTACCAGTTAAAATCGTGGTTGCTGTCCAGTATCTGGAAATCAAATTGCATATTTTTCTGTTGGCATTCGACCGTTTTTCATGATCTGTATTTACTATTTTTCATTTATTATTAGTTGGCAATTAGTATTAAAGTCTACGATTTGATGTTAAGTGCGTAAAACAGTTAATAATTACTCTATAACTATTATATATATATGTGTGTGTGTGGTGTTTTTTAATCACATTGTTTAGTATTTGATGGTACAATAGGCACTGATAGCTGGATATGCCCAATTTGGCTTGGTTACAGCTTACAGAACGTTTTCAAAATTCTAGTTAAAATGTGTTTTTCTATTTTCTAAAAAAAAAAATTAAAGAATAAATAATAATAAAATTAGTTATTATTTAATTAAATGATTTTGAATTTTTGTTTTCATTTTTTAAATTGTATTATTGAAAATATCTAAATACTTCTGTAAATTATGCTTTTAATTAAATTAAAATATAAATTTACTATTAATAAATTATAATTCATAAGGTTAATTAAAATATTAATCAATAATATGTACATATTAATTATGTATTGATAAGACACAATCATCATCAAGAAAAAAATACACTTTTATAAGGTAGGTACCTTAGTAGTTTTATATACTTTAAACATTACTAAATATACTTAAAATTACTTTTATGTTTTAGTATTGCCTGCTTATGATTTATTAAAATGCTGAGTTTTTTAATATTCATCACTTAATGATCTCATTTTATTTAATTCATGATTTAAATTAATTTTTTAATTCATTATTGGACAAATTAATCACTAGTATTATTTATAATTTACAAGTTACTTTGCACATGTGCCTAGGTACCTAATATAAAATACTATTTTAAAATCATTAATAAAATATTAATTTGATTCATTTAAAATGTTTTAATTTGAATTAAAATTAAATTAGGTCATAGTTTTTGCAGTTTATTAACTTGACAGATATTTCAATTGGTTCTACTTTTGTTTATTAATAATTTTTTCCAAATTAAGTTTTCTATTTAGAAGTTGCATCTATCAGCCAATATTTTATTAATTACAAATTAAAAAAATATATATGCATTGAACTATCTGCAAGATTGGGATAGTTTTAACATTTACTATGACATAAAATGTATTAATCGAAAAATATGAATGTACGATGTTCCTAATTTTTACTTATTAAATACAAGCATAATATACCTATCTATACTTTATGTACGTAAATTTCTTACTTATTTTTTAATTTTAAATGCATTTTAATGTGGGTATTGACAAATAGATTGTAAAAGAATAAATTATATTACTATAGACCAATAATACCTACTTTAATTAGTTATTTGGTTATTATTTGATTAGGGCTAACAACCAAGGTATAGTAGTCTACAAATATATATATAACATTTTATATTGGGAAGCTAAGCTCACAGAAACTTACACCAATATCTATTTATGGTATTGGAAGTTTCTTCAAGTATTTGATATTAAAATAATTTATAGTAAGTATTTAATTTAAATAGAATATAGCACAGAATATTTTATTCCTATTTACTAAGTATTTCAGCATGTCATCTTTAATTTTTATAAATTATATTTTACTCATTTAAATTTAACTATTGAAGAATAACATTTTTAATCTTTTTGCTAATTCAAGAATTGGTTAAGTTAGGTAAAATTGTTACTTTGTCGTTAAATGAAAAAAAAAACTTGAAATGATACTTAATTTGTGTTGGTATTGCTTAGTGAAGAAATTTGGTGTTAGGGTATATGATGAGAAATTTTGAATTACATTATCTACAAAAACATTTTATGCTTGTAAATATATCCATCTATGTATCACTTCCAAATATCAATTTTATCATAAAAAAGTTAGATTCCATTTGATTTTCATATTAATTATTTACTATTATTATGTGTTATTTGACTTGCTGCCACTGCTGGATTTAAGGCACTGCGAACTATGCAGTTGCATAGGGCAGCAAATTTTTGGATGGCAACTTTTTATAAGCAGCAAAATTGTATTTAATATTTATTTTGTTGTTGTATAGAAAATACACAATTTTTTTCTTGAATTTTTCAATTTCAAAATAAATAATTAACATCAAAACTATTTATATAACTAGATAATTATTTAATACATATATTATTATTTTTTCTTGTACAATAAAAATAAAGAAAAAATATTATATTTAAATTATAATGTTTTAATTGAACTTAAGTTAAATGAAAAAATAATTACATAAATAGAAATTGTTATTATGTAAGGAAATTTTGTTGTACAGTGGTGATTTTTTTTAAATAAGGGTTGCAAATTTTTTTGGACATAGGGGCGGCAGTTGTTTAATCTGCCCTCGCTTACTAGTGCTTTTGCTATCTGTCAGATTTGAAAAAAAAAGTTGGTTAAAATATTATATTGAAAGTAATATCATAATCCCTTTAATTAAAATAAAGAGTGAGATTATAATTTTTTTTCAATATAATATAGTTTTTGGCTTTTTGGACTACTTTATTTTTAAATCTTAAAGGCTGTCGAGTGTCAAGATAAACTGGAAGGATTATATTTTATGTTATTTCAATCCTTTTTTTTTCAGAAAAATGTTTACTTGTTCAATTTGTAATGAGACATTTATTGGAATTCACCAAGGCTCTACTTTTACAACACAATGTGGCCATGTTTTTCATCATCAATGTGTTATGACATGGTTAGAAAGGTAAAATATATCATTTTAATTTTACATATTATATTATACATAAATTTCTTAAAGTAAACAAATATTTTTATGTTATTTTGTATTTTAAGATCACAGACTTGTCCACATTGTCGTTCACCGGTATCAGAAAATAAATTAGTTAAATTATTTTTACAATTTGACCCTAACGCTCAAGTATCATGGGATAGAAAAACTGATGAAGAAATAAATAAACTAAAGTAAATATTTATACTTTGTTTAAAATATATTAAATATTGAATGATAAATGAAGTGTATTTTATCATATTTTTAATTAATTAATAATTATGTTCATTAAAACCTTTTTATCTAATATCTAAACTAGCATATAAAATAAAATTAAAAATTAATTGAAGTCAAAATATCTTTATATTACTAATTTAATTTTTTTTTTTTTTTAATTTGGGTATACTATACATAATACTAATCTAAATTATAATAAGTTTATAAAAAATAATTTATTTAAAAATCTAATAGTTAACAAAATATATTGAATGGAGGAGTGGCTAAGCAAAATAAGGTGGCATTGCCAACACACACTATAGTTGGTTCGAACCTCAGTCATGATTAAGCCTCTCTCCTTAGGCAGGCAAATGCCTTAACAGTGTGGTAATGCCACCTTTCTGTACAGAAGGCAACAGGAATACTGTTAAGTTAAAACTTCTTTAGTACACAACATTCAAAAAATTTGAAACGATATTGTCAAACTAACCTTACGGTAGTTACAACAATAAAAACAATTGTATAAGACAGGTTTTTTGATTTTTAGGGAACAATTAAAAGCTTTAAAGGAGAAAGAATCCCATCATGCTAGTTCTATCTATGATCTGCAACTTCAACTAAATCTTGCAAGTACTGCTTCAAAAAAAAGCAAAGAATTTATTGATAAACTTCAAAATGAATTCGAAAATCAAATTAAAAAAAATTGTGAAATTGCTGCTAATCTAAAAGTAATAAATGAGTAAGTATTTTTTTAAGATTTTAATATTATACAATTTTTCTCCTGACATATTTGATATTTTATTATTTTTAAAATTGTTAAAAAAAATTTTTTAGAGAATATAATGCATTGGAAACTGAAAAAAAGCAGTTAAAATTAAAATATTTAGAACAAAAAACAGAAGTTCAATCGCTTCAAAAAAATCTTTATAATTTACAGTCAGCAAATTCAGTTATTATTGAGTATGTATTTTTATTTAGTTAAAATGAGTTATGTATTGTTTTAATTAAGAACGGGTATTTTAATTAATTTAATTTTTTTCATTGAATAGTAAATTAAAAAGTGAAATAGCTGATTTAAAATCAGAAAAAGTAAATTTTCAAAGCAGATGTGATAATGTAGAAAATACAGATATTGATCAACCGTGTACATCAAAGGTAATTAGTATTTCTTTTGTTAATATATAAAATGACATTTTTTATTTATTTTAACTTAATATCTATTAAGACTAAAAATCTATTTTTACTGGCTTACGGTATTCACAGAAAGACGTTATAAAATTTTGAATTATTGAAGTTGTTATTGTATGGTATAAATTCATATTCTTATAATAATTAAATACTAATAATATAACAATAGAAATATTTTCTGAAAAAATTATATCAATCTACTATAATAATAAAAGTTAAATAAATTATTATAAGAGCTATATTAAAAAAATTTATGAAATGATATGTCAAAACGCAATAGGATATTTAATTAAAATATTTGAAGTTATGTCTATATTTTCAGATGTCAATTGAAACTGAAAATGCAATATTACTCCAAAAAACTAAAACTGAATATTATGGACATGATCCTTGCTTAATAAGTAAGATATTTTTTTTTTTTTTATTTAATGAAAAGAGGCTTCAACAACTAAGGTTATTAGCCTTATAAGTATTTCATAGTGAGTGTTACATTAATTATGAATTATAAGATACAAGTTGTAACATATAAATATTTTTGAGACATATAAAATTTTTCATAATGTGCATGTTGAAAATAATGATTTATAAGTTATTTATAATATTAATTTTTGTGAGGAAATTTAATGTTTTTGTGCTGTAGTCTTCATTTAGTGCTTCTTCTAGGTTGCCTGGTATCGATAGTGTGTTTCGTATGTTCTGGAATGCTGGGCAGTCTTGGATAATATGTTGTATGGATAGGTTTTCATGGCATTCTTTGCAGATGGGTGGTGGATCTTTACTTATTAGGAAAGCATGTGTCAGAAAAGAATGTCCAATTCTTAGTCTGGTTAGAGCAACTTCGTGTCGTCTGCTTAGGTTTTACGGGATGTGCCACTTTTTTGTGCATTTTTTTATCTTTTTAAGTTTGTTAGAAGGTGGAACGGAATCCCAGTGGTTTTGCCATGCCGTGTTTGTTTATAGTCTAATTGATATTTATTAATCATTTTCCGGTTAAAAATTTTCTATAGTAAAATTATAATTTAATTTGAAATTATCACAAACCATATATTATCTTACTAAAATATACTTTATAATCAATAATAAATCACAGTACTCAAATTATAAATAAAAAACAAAAACAAAAACTTAACACCTTTTTTTCAAAAATGTCATTATATTAATATAAAATATATTATTTAAATAGCAAAATAAATAAAAAAATAGTTTAAAAATTATCTTATTGTCTTCGTGTTGCTTTAGCTTTGTGACACTGTTTGGTAAGCATAGTTTTTATAGTTGAACATATAATGTGATGTTTTTTTAAGTTTTTACATTATACATTTTTATAATATATTCCATGGCTAGTAATTTGTTATCTTAAGTTTTACTTACAAAATTTAAAAAAATAATATTTTTTATCAACCACAATGAATTACATTAGCAACATAAATCTGAAACTTCTACGGTATGCAAGTTACAAAATATATGTTATTGATTTTTGATTTGCTTGCCATATTAAAGGATAAAAATATTAATTAGTATCACTAAAATGAAGTTAAATATTGAACATTTGTATTACTTATAAAGTGAATTAAAAAATATAAATTGCAGGCTAATTTATTTTAAGTATTGCATGCATTTTTAATCTGAAAACATTTATTTTATTAAAATGACTGAACATAGCATAGTTATAATTTTGTGTTAATAATAAAATAAAATATGTTCGCTTTAAATGAAATACAGTGAAACCTCTGAATAACAGACACTCTCGGTTGCCGAAATTTTGTCTGCTATTTAGAAGAAAACATTTTTTTCAATAAATAAATAAATTCAATAATTTTATTTTATATTATTTTTACATTAATTAAATACATCTTAAAAAAATGCCCAGATTGAAAAGCCCAAGAATACCCATATTTATATTTGATAATCGAAATTCCAGAATGTCTATTTTTTTCTTTTAGAGTTAATCGTTTTCTTTTGCTGGCCATAGCACACTACAATAAACGTTTGTATATTGACATCACAAACACAACTAAACGCACATAGGACAATGCATTAGTTACGATATTTTGTTGACGCGATAATATTTCAATCACTGAATGGATAAGATAAGATTTTCATATACAGTTTAATAATGTACACATAAGATAACTTAATAATTGAGGTTTTTATTCAGGTATTCCAAAATAATTCTTAATTTAAGATAAAAATTATTAATATCAGTGTCATAAAAGTGTCCGTTATTTAGAGTGTCCTGTATTTAGAGGTTTTCCTATACATAAATAGTAAAAATGTTCTCGTCCCCGAAAAAACATCTGCTATTTAGAGGTGTTCATTAAGGGAGGTTTCACTGTACTATCTATTTTTATTATAAATATTTAATATGTAATTAATAAAATGTACTTTTTAATTCATAGTATCTGCCAAACAATTTTTATCAGGATGTGTATTTTTAATTATCGAACTCCATGTTGAACATGAAAGTAAAATGTGCAATGATATAACTAAATCGAAGCTTGATATTATTGCACATGGTGGATTAGTTGAACAATTATATTCAGATCGCATTACACATATAATTTGTTTGACCCAAAAACATCATATAGTTGAACAAGTAAAAAAATATTGATTTTTTAATATTAATTTATAATTATTGATAATTTAATTATTCTCTTATACTTTTTTTTAGGGTATAAAAGATGGTAAAAGATGTGTTACTGATTTTTGGCTCAGAGATATCATTACTAGAAAAAAAATGATTCCACCTTGGTTAGCTCATCATTTTCCTCTACCATACAGGTAAAAGATAATGTTGATATTTTATGTGCTAATACAAATGTTACAGTAAAATATTTAAAGTTAAGACAAGTTAAATCTTAAATTTTCTTACTAATATTATTTGTGTCATTTTTTTTAACTTTTAATTAATAATTTATTTTATTTTTTTAGAATTTAGAACTACATATAATTAAATTGTTATTATTATTTTTTTTTTAGTATAAATAACCATTTGCCATGTAAAAATTTCAAAATTGCAATTGTTAATTTTGATCTAAATGAATATTATAGAATTAAAACAATGATTGAACTAGTTAGTGGTGTTATTACTGAAGAAATTACCAATGCTGATATTATAGTTAGCATGAAGTAAGATATTATTATTAAATATTAATACATATAATAATTATAATAATGTGATGAAAAGTAAAATTGTTGTCTTGTCTCCGTATAAAAGTTACTTTTTTTTGTCCCATAAAATTTTAAATGAAAAATAAATTAATACATTTATATAGTGAGTGCTCAAAATAACTAAGATATATACTATGGTAGTTTCTTTTAGCTGACCGATATAGTTTTTACTATAAAATAAAAGTGAACTTATTAAAAATACTCATAAACAAAAGAACAATCAGGTAATTTACTGTACAATTTCTGTCATTTGCCAAAAATTATTTTCATTTTACCTATCTTAAGTCATTGAATTAAGTCTAGAGTTGTGAGAGTACACGAATTTCTAAAAATTCTGGAGTTTAAGTATTGGACTTGGTTAATTTTTTTTTATATAATTAAAAACATGAGTACTCAATTGTTTTAGCAGGAAGTCATTGTTAGGTTTGATCATGTGAATGATTAGGTTTTTTTTTTTTTTACTGTTTCACTCATTTTTATTATTTAATATATTAATAAAACATTATTTAATAAACAAATAATTAAATTTGTTTATATTTTTAACTGTAGATTAGAAGGTGAATTAGTAGAAAAATCTATTATAGACCGAGTGGTTAATGTTCAATGGATAAATGATGTATTTTTCGGGAAAAAAATTGATTTAAATAAACCTGGATGTCTAAAATACAAACAATTTGATTTATGTAATCCATTTATAGTGAATTATGACATGGTATCACATTTAATGGGTATGGTATTAGTTAATTACACTTTTTTGTATCTTATACATTAAATTGCTAATAAAATTTTAATTATAAAATTGTTTACTCAATGTTCATAGTTAATGAACTTGTTGGTTTAGAGAATTTACACCAAAATTTTTCTGTCTCCCTCTTATGTACAACATAGTAACTTAGTAATAAGTCAAACCAATTTTATATTATTAGTTTTAATTTTAAAGGTTTTATCAATTTGTCCTAATTTATTTTTTATTCTTCGATTTTTAAGTATTTTATAAATTAAAACATTAATATTTCATTAACTAAAGTTATTAAAATTTTGTAAAAACTGACATAGAAACACATGTTCTTATCTTTAAAGTTTATAATAGGTCAATTCATTCTAAAATTTCAGCTAACAAAGCAAATTTTATATGTAGATGACTTTAATTGTATTAAAGTAAAATAAGATGGAGAAAATATATTTATATGATAATCTCCTATTAATAAAAAATTATTTATAAATTTTAAATATTTAAATTTATTTTTTTTTTTAGAAGCTTGGAAAACTCCTTTATTTTTTTATAAACGAGTGTATGATTTGACTTCAAGTCCAGATCATTCTACACAATTTAAAAAACAAAAATCAATATCTGAAAACTCAAAATCGATAAATTTAATTGATGATGAAGTTAATGACAATGATGTAGTCATAACATATATAAAAACCACACCAAAATCAAAACCAAGTGTTATGTTTTCTGGTTTTTCAACGGGTGATAAAGAAATACTTAAAATGGTATTTAGCAATTCTGGGTTATTTTTTTTTTTTTTTAATTATGTATAATATTATATTTATTTTTATATTTAGATGTTACATTTGGTTGGTGGTACAGTTGCAAGTAATCTTTTTCAACCAACTCATTTAGTCATGAATAAACCTAAAACTTCATTAGAGTTTTTTATTTGTCTTCCAACTGTTAGATATGTCGTCAACGAAAATTGGTTAAGAGATTCACATACTGATTTAAGATTTCTAGGTAAAAGCATATTTTTAGTATTTTAAATTATTGCATTAATAAAAAGGTTTTAAAATTTCTTGAGTAGATAGTTAACTTTATAAATAACTTTGATATTGTTAAAGTATTCATTATATCTAAGATATAATACATATATATTATATATATAAAGCTATCAAAACTGGATTTTGTATGTATAGCTATTGTATTTTAACATAGTGAGTGCTCAATAAAATGTTTACATAATTTTATGGTATATTTTCTTCTTGGTATGTAAACTTAAAACTATTTATTTATATCATGTATAGATTATAACCTTAACCAAGTTAAATAACATTATAAAATCTCTTATTAAACTCTTTTCTTATATTTTAAGTGAATGAATATATTAAAATTATTTTTAAAAAAACCTGTCCAATTCAATAAATTATAATTATTCCTAAAAAAAATTTTAATCTGACACATTTAAGTACTTTGTATGACAAATATAAAGTTAAAAATTAAAACTCTTTATGAAAAGTTAATGGTAATCTTAAAATATTAAAACATCTTTTATGTTACATCCTTGATTATAATAAACTTATTAATTGAAGGTAATTTAAAAGAATATTAGTGATATTAATTTTGTTACTTATTTAGAACTATAAAATGCTATTCTGAAACTCACTAATTATTAGGACTGCCGAATGATATACTTAATGAATTAAGCCCGGGATTATATGCAATTAAAAACTGTCAAATATGATGCAATAACATTAGTTGAATTCGAAAGATCATTTAGTCGTACAAAGTAGTTTTACTACCAAATCGATAATACTTTGGATTTGAAAAATAATTTTCTTTTTTTTAGCTTTTGTTACTTTTAGTAATTATTTACTAATATATTTTTTTGTTAGTAATTTCATTATTTAAATGTTAATTTGTTTCATTAGGAACTCAGAAAACCATATAATATATTAATATTGATAATATTAGTAAAATAAATATTTTGAGATTTTTAGCACATATTTTGATAGCATAAATGCATATAAATCCAAACCCTAGTTATGACTAATGAATATAATACATGTAACTCGCGTTGAAATTTCAAATATTTATAATTGTGTTGATGTTGAAAATAAAATTTAATTTTTAGATGAAAGAGCATATTTAATACAAAATTTGCAAGATAAACATATGGGGTTATGTAATGTACCGGCTATTCTTGATAACTATAAGCGTCATCAACTATTTAGACGTTTATCATTCTTTATTACTCCTGGAATTACTTATCCACCTGTTCATCGCTTGGAGGAAATCATATCTTCTGCTGGTGGTATAGTTGAAAAAACAAGAAGATCTTTGAAGTCAATCCAAGAAACGCCAGCCTTTTCTTATTTTATAATCTCATGCCTAGAAGATCATTATTTATGCAATGACTTATCAGATATTCATAATGGTATACTTTAAACATAATTTATGTTTTTTTTTAATTAATGAATTATTATATTGTTTTTAGTTGTTTATTTACCTGAATTTATAACATGTTCACTCCTGGCGCAAAAAATTCTAACACACAAGTTTACTATGGATATGACTGCTCAAAACTAAATATTTCAACATTTTTACTGTGTATAATATTTAAGTGTTAAATGTTTTATTTAACATCAATTGGAGTTGATGATATTTGAGAATAAAACATATGTATTGATCTTCATTCTTTTATTTAAATACTATACAAATATGAGCTATGTATACAATATAATTAGTCTTGCTACTATTGTTATAAGTTTTGATATTGTAACAGGCATTGAAAAATTATAAATATTATTCAATTGGCTCATGACTTGTATAGTTGTATGTGTTACATAAGTTTATAATAATTAATTTTTGTAATAAATTTTAAGGTATTTAATGTTTTTTAATATTGATATCAACAATTTAGACTGATATAACATTATTTTATTGTATTTAACTGAAATATACATAATATACAGTACATAGAAATTTGTGTTTCTATTTTTTATTTTTATAAAATTACTTAACAATTCTCAAATTATAATAATAAAATAAAATGATTTACAATATAATTTTAAAGTTAATATTTAATTAAAATATTTATAATTTAATTTAAGTTGAGTTTAATTGACCCTTGTGTTTTTATACTTCTTAAACATTATCATATTAATGTATATTTTATTTATTTTTATAATAGTGATGTAAATTTGAGCATTATCATGTTATGATATTTAATGTAATAAAGATGGAATATTACAGTTTTCTCCCATAGGTTACCAATAATTTAAGTATTAATTCTAGATATAATTTAAAAACTGTTGTGTATTCAATGACAATTTAAATTGTATCAAATTATTTTTATCAATGGATAAATGTTTTAGATGCATATTTTAACCAAATGTAGATATTATATGAATACTTAAAAACATGAATTTAATAAATTATAGCATACATGAATTAAAACATTTATATTTTAAATTTTAAATTGTTCTATATTATTGTGTTGGTAAATACTACTACTTGACTAAGAAATAGTTCATCAAAGATCTTTTTTTGCTAGAAAACATGTTAATTTTAAATTTGATATATTAAGTTGGAAATCAAAATTTTTATTAATTATATTAAATAATAAAATTTATATTAAATTTATAAAATGAAAATACACCTTATAATGTATCCTATTGACCTATTACTTAAAAAAAAATATATCAAATTAGTTTTTCAATTTAAATTAAGTTTTGCTTGATTCTTTGATTATTATTATTTTATTCTAATAAATATATAGTTGAATTCTTTAATCTTGGTCAATTCATAGAAGTATTAAAACTTAAAAATTATTACTTAACTATCACGAATGATTTGATAGTTATAAGTTAATTAAAATAATAACACTGCTAGTGCCGGCCGCGTTACAATTCAGTTTGCAAGACTATGAGAAATTTAACGAAATATTCCTTACATCTACCTAAAATATTTAAGTCCAGTAACCACTAAAAATTTTTCAATGAATAAATCTGAATCTAAAACTGCTATATGAGCTGCTCTTCCTATTAATGAGTTTGCGGTGTTCGGCAATGCGTGATGTACATCGTAACGGATAAACGTAACGTCCAGTTTGTTGATTATTGGACATAAAATATTGTTCACCATTTCTCGATACGCCAATCCTATAATGTTAAATACACGCAAATTATCGTACAACATTTAATTATCGGTTTGTTATACTAATATATAAGAAATATATTTACCGATAGGTGTTGTATCTTTAATAGCGGCTTTGCACAGTTCGATTCTTGCCGAATGAGGTGGAACATATCTGTCTTGGGATGAACCGAACAATAGAACATTCTTAAAATAACTTAAATGACAATTTTGAGCTAATTGATAAAGGAACGTTTGTCGAATATCTGCAGCGTCTTTCAAAGATAGCTGAAGTAAAGTGCCACTTTTTTTAACTTTTTGCATAAACCATAATCCTATAAAAAAAAATAAAATAATTTTGATAACATAATATATATTATGGTTACTCTTTTAAATATTATCAGTATATTCTTAAATATAATATGCTAATTATATACATATATTTATATAAATATTTATCTAAATAACTAATCTTAGTTACCTACCCATGTTTACTAATCCACTAGTGTTGTATAAAGTTCCTAAATGAGGGCCCGAAAGTGACAAAAATGTATGCATTTTCGGTAGTAAATGTTTCATTTGTGGCCGAGCAATTGCTGCTCTAATAATGATCGTTCCAAGGGAATGACCAACAAAACTTATTCTAGATGGATAATGTGGTAGTTGAAACGAGGATATATGACTAAGAATCTCGTTCACTAAACGATCAGTCATTCGTTCAAAGTCTGAGAATGTATCACCCTAAAATTCATAACCACGTTAGAATTTAAATAATTACAATTGATATGTTCAAAATAAATTACTTGATTTCTTTCAGACATGAGAAACTCCAAATGAGCACCGGGCAAGCCCAATTTAATGTATGTCTTGACTAAACGTAAATCAGCTGAATTACCGTCCAGTCCATGAACACATACTATGAGATGAACACCTTCGGGTGAAAACATACGTAAATCTTCGCTGATATGAAAGTATGGTAATGTTGAAGCTAATATATGAGCATCACTAACAACAGGTACATATATTATTAACATACAAAAAATAACCATAGGTCCGTAGCGGCATAGCCTATAGGCTATAGGTGTGTATTAAATTTATTTACCAACCTATAAATAATACCAGTAAAACTCATTTGTTTTTTAAATTGTTCCTTATATTTCTGAAACATTGAATTTTCTTCAACGCTGTTATAAGAATGAATCCTGCCATCAGCTTTTACATCTTTCTGTGTTTCGTCTTCATAATATTCCGGTTCTATATTATTTTTCTTAGTTCTGTTAAATTTAAATTTAAATTATTAAATTAGAAATAAAATATTGACTTGAATTTGATACCTGGTTATAGGCTTCTTAGAACTTTCTGAAAACTTTTTCTGTCTCATAGCTAATCGATGTTGATCATTCCACCTAGCTTCTTTAACGGTTTCATACATATGATATAATAAATTGTCAACTGAATCCGATGGAGGAATCGTATCTCTAAAAGGTTCAGGGGGAAGAGGAATATCTCTAAATTGTCTGGGTGGTGGTAAGCGAACTTCTTCATATAACTGATCATTGGTCGTTAACCTATTAGCCCCAGATGGTTTAATACACTTGGAAGATTTTATTTTTTTTTCAGTTACAGTCATTTTTCTGTTAGGTGACTCTTCTAGTAATTTTAACAACCTCCTTTGTAATTCTCTCCCTATGTATAAATCGTGTTTTGTATTATACGGATCGTCCACTGAAAACAAAATAAATATTTTAACTATTTAAACCATTTACTGAATAAATTTAGAAGCCAATTTTAACTTACCTTTTGGAGTAATTTGTCCAGAAAATGAAGATATTGAAGACTGACGACTGGAAACCCATCCACTTTGTTCTGAAGTGATTTCACTATCAGAAACTGATGAAAATCGTGTCACCGCTGTTGACGGTAAGTCTGGCATTGATTCACTACTATTCGCTACGGCCGAAATTACTCTATCATTTACTAAATCTGGTATAGAAGTTGTACTATTTGAATATTTAACCATTATTGGTGACGTGTTCAGTGCCTCTAACTGAAGTGGAACACTAACACTAGTTCCTAATTTTGAAATTGGAGTTTCCTCACCTGACGATGGAGATCTAGACTTATTTACAGCTTTTGGATTAATTTTTTCTGTCATACGCTTCGATCGATAAGATCGCCTATCATTTCTCCGTATTGGTAAAGAGGCATAACCATTTGGCTGTATTCGAAACTCAGGAGGTTTGACATTATCTTTTAGACGGCGAGGTAGTGTCATAACTTTAGTATTCTGAATGAGATCTAATTTTTTATATTTTGTATGCTTAGGTATTGTTGATCTTTCAGTAAAATTACCGTTATTATTTGTTTCAAAAGTTCTTGAAAAACTTAGCGGTAATGATAACATTGGTGTATCCATCACAGTTGATCTTAACAATTGGTCTAATGATTTGCTGTGCCTAGTTTTGATACGTTGATTCTCTGGTTTTTGATTAATATCCGTACCTTAAAAGTATATAAGTAAAATTATAATTGATAATTTATAGCAAAAATATATTTGATAAACATAAAAATTAAAGTTTCATCTATATTACTTTGGTTTAACTCATTAGTCATTAAGTTATCTAAACTTGATTGGTTTTTGCATATCCATAGTCGAAATTTTATAGCGATTTAGAAACCCTAATTATATAAGCACCAAGTTACCTTTAACTTTAAGTAATTTTCCAGTGGATGCCATTTGACTACATCTTCTAGATTCTAATATAGCAGCGATACCACAACTACAATCTTGATTAAGTAAGAGCGTTTGTCGTAATGTATTTAATGGGATGTCACACGAATTAATAGGAGGTTCTAAAATTAAAAACGGAATAATTGGTATATTCTTAATTACTAAAAATTATGTGAAGCTAACTAATTACCACCATCTGATCTTCTATTATTACTTCCAGGCTTTGTATATTGATCTTCAAAAATAACAGGTAAAGTGATAGGATCGCCATCTGTTGCTGAGCAATGAACAGGTAAAGGTGGCAATGAAGCCAAGTATCTAGATCTTCTAGCTGCTTCTGATACTGACCTATAGTGTTGATAATTATTATGGTCATCATAACAGCCCGCTGCACTTTGCCTTGGATTTTCTAGTACAAAAAATGCTTCGGAAAATCTCCTTACCTATTGGAAATCAAATAAATTCATATTAAAACAAAATTATAAGTACTTGTACTTTATGGCTGCATAAATAATTAATTAATCTATTTATTTTTCATTAACTTCTCGTAGTTAAAAATATTTAAAATAATAAGCATAATTAATATTTTAAATAATTTTAAATTTCAGCTAGATAGTTGGTGGATAATGGATAGGTACCTATTTATTAGGACCATAATATACTTTTGTTTGCATTTAAATTCATGGTTCATTGGTGATCAACGGTTTTTTAAAAAAATTTTAAATTTTAATAATTAATTAAATAATGAAATAGTTTTTACATTTTTTAATAATTATTATAGAACACAAGAGAAATGTTTAAAATTTGAAAAAACGCGTTTTCAGTTTGTTTATAAAGTACAAAAATAAAACTCGTGTAAATAAAATTTATTTTGAGAGATACTTAATCGCACAAATTTAAATTATCTATAGAAGCTAATTATGTATATGTCTCGCAGTTACATTGATTACTGAATTATGTGGT